GGGCAGTGCCGTTGGCCTTGAAGAGGATTCAGTACTTTAAATCTTCATTGTGAGTCACAAAAATGCGATCGGTATCCGGTACGTCGTGCGATAGCTCATGAGGCCATTAATGATCGACTATCAATGCAGGATGTCCTGCAAGCGTGCCTATAATCTACTGTCCTAGTCTTTTTGTTTCATACTCTCAAGGATATGGAACGATTCCACACATGTTTATACTCCCGTGGATTTGCCACACGAATGAGCTCCTCAACAGGAGATGACAAAGTCGTGACTTGAGAAAGCTCACAATCAGGTTGGTGTGAGAAATCATCTGCCATCACATCTTTTTTGCCTGGCTTTTGCTTTGCCTCAAAGTTACATTACGCGAAGAAGGAAATCTGAGACATTCTATGAGAGAGGTAATGTGACGGTGCCGCCGTGCGTAATGACGCATTATCCGTATACAAGACGAATGGCTTGGATCCAAGCGGAAAGTGTGTAAATTTGACGAGCGCACACTTCATAGCAAGTAGCTCTGTGTCATGAACTGAGTAGTTCTTTTCAGCAGCTTTCAGCTGACGTGGTTCAAATGCGAAAACTCGCTAGCGAGCTGCAGCATCAATTTTGTTACAAAGCGCTGCGTATGACAAAGCCGGATGCATTGCAAACAACACTGAAAGAGTACTTAGTATTTGGCAACGCCAAAATGGGAGTATGGGAAGACTTCCTTCATTGCCCGAAATGCGTCAGTATGGGTGCTGTCCCCAGCGCCAATCGGTGATCTTTTTTCCAAAGGAGATCAGATAATGGCCGATCTATATCATCGTAAATTTTCATTGTGTTCGTGTAAGTAATGGATAAAGCCAATCCACTTACGCAATTCTTTTGGTTCTTAGATATCAGCTTGTCTAATAGAGTTTGGATTTAGCGGAATTCTCACCTAGGCCAAGCTATTTAAAGAAACAGCCGAGAAAATATTATTATCTGCACCAAATTTGCATTTAAATGCGTTGGCGTTCAATTTATCATTGTGCATGCACTCATGACCAGCTCGAAAATGACCGATTTGATTTGGAACATCTGACCGACCTTATTCAGCACGACTATGGACAAAATTGTCATCAAATTATGTATGTGCGTGATTCCAATATGGGCGATAAAGTTGCGTTACCAGACGGTTAAATGTTTCCGGAGCGTTAGACAGCCCCTGGTAATTCACCAGCCATTACCACAGCATACCACTTGGAGTGCTCACTGCAGTATGCAGATTATCACTCGCTCTCATAAGCAATTATTACTACCCATCGACCAAGTCGAGGGCCCTTTTTTTACATAGTACAGTCAACCATGCTGTCTTGAAAAATGTTCTTTTAATAGAAGAGATTCTGTGCCGGAACAGTAGCCAAAATAGCTTGTAACAAGCATACAAAATATGCCAATCGCCGTTCGACTTTTCGACACAAAATGTCGATGTCAAATGTGAAAATTCACTATCGCTCACCATTTCTAACTCTTGCTTGGCCTAAAAACGCCATCAATGACATCTCGTTGCTTCTTAATGTGTCACACGCAAGGGCCACTGTCGTGTGACACATTATTTAGTCTCTGGTACTAGGTCATTTTCATGACGGAAACCTCTATCTGAAGTTATAAGAGAGGGTGGGTCACAGCACACCACACCTTCAATTTTTTTAACTAAAAATTAAAAGGACTATGAGGGTATATTAATGTTGACGACCACTTCGCGCCATTAGCACTTCTTTTGTGTCATCCAGAACGGCTTCGTCTTAGTGTGAAGAAGAGTTTAACTCTATGATGTCGGGTCGAATAGCCATCACCTCTAAAAGTTCTCCATGCGTTAGTAGGTGATTAAACTCATCGACCGATAACTCTTCAAGTTTCATGAGAAAACGAAAGGAGGGTAAAGCCCCAAGGCCAATAATACCGTCACAGGCACCAGTCACTCCGTTGACGAGTGCATACAGCTGATAGTCGTTGTCACTTTGTGACACAGCACACGCTATGCGATTCGTATCTCTGATCGATACCATCATCGAACGAAATTGCTCGAAACTAGAGCTGATGTCACTATCTACATCCGATGACGATTCATTCGGCTTGAGGTCATCATCGGGTAGATTAATCGACACCTCACATGCATCCACTAAGCCGGGCTCGGTATGCCTTGATATTTCACCAACAACGTCAATATTGACATTCAGCGCGTCGCTAGCACAGCCAAAGTCACTCAGTGTGTACTTACTTGCCACTCCACTATCATCTGATGGGTTCACGCCTCAATGACTTGACGCTTGGTCAACAATGATCTCAGCATATAGCACGTTGAGCTATAACGAATATCACGCAGCGGATTATGTACCGCTGCACTATCAATTATTAGCTACACTCGATACTCTTGTCTATGACATTGTCAGAGTCAACTAACTCCGACATTCCGATGTCTAGCACATTAAAATTGTCAGCCAGTAAATAGCTCCAATGACGCTACTGATTCATAGCAAAGGTGGGTTTCTGACTCTTTCAAAGCACCGCTAGGGACAGTGCGCGTGATGTCTAATGTTTGTGACCTCCATTTTTTTCGTGGCTCATGGATGGCTCATGGCTCATGGTGACCAAGCCAAGCCATACCAAGAATGAGATCACATCTTAGTCCAAATAAAGAACTAAACAGCGTTGAATACTATCAAAATCGAAAAACATCGCACCTAAGTTCACAGGAACTTTGAGTGCGGTGGCTAAAGTTCCTGTCGCTAAGCGAACGGTGATCATGTCACCCTTGAGTGATGCTATCGCCTCAACGTAACGTAAGTTCCCAATTCAAGGGAGCAGTGTATGACATAAGTACCGGATACTCCGGATTCAAACAAAAAAGACCGGGATGTTTCAGAGTCCTAAACAGTCTCCTTTGTTACCAACAATCCTGGCTCGTACCCTACACCTTTTTAAAATACACAAAATTTCTTGGGGCCAAATTCTGATCGTCACTACTTGCTCGAGGATCGGCAGAACCTAGCTCGACTTCCCAGTAGGGAGCCTCGTGACTACCGGAAGTCTACATTTTCTCGCGCAGTACCAGATTATATTGTGCAATGAGAGTTCAACCTGAAGTGGCCGACGTTCCCTGCGTAAAGGGCAATTAGTTCGCAGATGTTTTGTGCTTCTATTCGTGAAACATCGATAAATGTTTCAATGTTGATCTACGTCTAGGCGTCTAGAAGGTATTTGTTTTTAATACTAAAAGGAAATGGGGCTAACGAACCTCTATGCTCTGCTTCTTCGTCCATCCCGGCAAGACTGATGTCTTTAGGCTCCAGCCCTTTGAATAAGCTAAATAACTTCGCCGAGATTGGGTAATACCCATGGGTGCTAAAACGGGCTGCCTTTAAGTTGAACTCAGCGTTCAACACGATATCCACAGCCACCTCAAAGGAGATGGGGTGTACCCGATCTACTTTCCTTTGAGTCACGCCCAAGCGAAGGCTCTCCATGATGATGGTAACCAAAACCATTCCTGGTAAGGGATCGTTCTGGTCGGCAGAGATTAGAGCTCTCAGTTCCTGGACATAGTCCGATCGTGCTGTCTTGTCCTGACGGGCACATAAAAAACGAGAGCGCACTCGGTACGTCTGATTAAGCGGATCATAGACTCGGATTATTGCTGTTTTAGCAATTCACATGTGGGTAAAGCTTCGCATACCGACGTGATACACGTGAGAGCCCATTCTCTGGCTCGACCACCGAGTTTTGAGATAGCCACCCCAACTCGGTGTTGCTCCGACCGGAGCATAGCGGAGTTCATGGTCATTTCTACCTCTCTGATCCAAAGGAGGAGACTCTCCCCTTCGTTTCCCTCAAATGCCTTAACAGTCAAGACAAGGTGGCGAGCCCTTAGCTCTTCATCAGGTACGGGAACCAATCGAGTAGGCATAGCCGATGACAAATGGTCGTGTGCTGGACCAAGCAAAGTGGACTCAAACTTCATAAAAGCGTCAAGACGTGCACGAATCACGTCAGGACCTTGTGCAAGGATTTAATCCACTTTTTCGTACCCGACTAGCGCTATGAGTTTCTTTAGCGCTAATCCCTGGGCCTCAGATAGGTTTATCTTTGTTTTTATCCTTACAGAGGAACCGTCTTTATCAGACTGAGGTACAGATCAATTACGGTGCTACGAAGTGTAGTGAAGCTACCCTAACTCCTTAGTCAGAAGAAGACATAAACACTCGTAGAGTCCCTTAGCGTATCAATATAAGCGGGTTTAAACGCAAAGGGTCTCAAGTCTCGCAGGCTTATTGAGACTTAACTCCAAGCGCATGGTACAAGCACGTAAGCTTTTATTCCTTGTCTAGGGGACTACGACTCCCAAGTACATAAAAATCAGGCAGCACTAATGCCTAAGAGTACATAGTCTGGACGCAGGCACTTAGCGCTTACGAATAGAGACGTCTTGGAAAGACACGTGTCTGGAAAACAAAAACTGATCAAAAGGGGAGCTGAACGTATTTACTGATTAATAGCGATGATCAACCTTGCCTACGTCTTTAACCTTGCTACCTGATCGAAAAGTCCTCACTAAAGTTCTTCTTGTGAACCCCACCAGAGCTAAGTCGCCTCCATGAAGACCCTTATCCCGATAGGTACCATCTGAACATATACGATAGGATACGGTATTACCGCTTAGCGTATGTGATACAAAAGTGTGCCCTATCAGTGATAATGATCTTTTTCTGTGTGTACCACACGAATGTACCTGATTACCTTTACCATTCGTGTAACCTCGTTACACTCCCAGTCGCTTTTCTCGGCACTGGCTGTGACTTCCTACGTGCCGTATTGAGTAAGGGCGTCACATTTACCACTTCCTTCTACAGTAAGTTACTTGCACTGATTCTAGTGACGACGAAATAGCCATCCTAATCATTCACCAAGGACAGCACAGCAGCAGCATGCATCTACACTAGTGCCTTAACACCAACAGCCGCTCAAAGCATTGACTGTTACTTTAGCCCCATACAGCGAGCTGCTAACAACACCTGGTCTTGATCAGGACGCGATGCCGAAAAGATGTGCCAGTAAAACCCTTCAGAGATGCAGAGCCAAGCACAAGATCTGACTGGCACAGCGACTCGAGCGTCGTTCATCCAGCTGCTCTTTTTCTATCGCGTTCTCAACCCCACGAAATCATGTGCTGCTTGACCAACCAACCAACGAACCAGCTACCACCAAAAGTCAGTCTCAAAAGTCAGGATTTGTCGACGAGGTCTTTTCAAGCCCAAGATATCATCGTAAATCCGTCCGTCCGTCCGTTCGTCCGCTCGCCGCCCCCTGCCTCATTCGATAACAACCTTCGAAACCACTTCACGCGTCTCTCTCGGATGCCCACAAACGAGATCGAAATTCGAGAGCGTCAAGTCCTTCAACATGTCGTCGATGTATCATCATCCTACAGACCATAACCACAATCAGAGTACTCATTCTAGTCACAGCGATAGCCACAGAAGCGATAGCACGCCTACAAACGGTGAGTCACAGCTACCGGATGAACGCCAACCGCTTTTAGGTCCCCGCACAGCTGCAGCTTTATCCCCTAGTACGGGCCACTCCGCCACCCTTTGGCATCGCAATTTCCATCCAAATGACAACGAAAAGGATGTTCATCACCGACGCCAATGCACCGACACGTTGTTCCTGGGGGTCCTAGCTCTGTACTGGATTGGCATGATTGCCGTTGCCATTACCGCTTTTTCCCATGAAAGTAGCATATCTTTTGCCCAAGAGATTGAAGGTGGCGTGGACTTTCAAGGCCAATCGTGTGGACCGCGTCGTTTCGTGTACTTCCCCGACTTTCAAGTGAATCCGGACTTTGGTGTCTGTGTGGATGTTTGCCCACGTACTGCTGGACAAGTCATTACGATTCACTTACCGTTAGAAGCTGGAATGGGAGTCGGAATCAAGTCAGGTGCACTGTCTCCAGTTCACTTTACGTCATACGCTTCACATCCACGAGCATATGTGTGTGCGCCAGCAGGAGGTGAGCTTTTGGATATAGGTGCATACATATATGAGGGAGGGAGTTCAGGTTGATTGAGTAGTGTTATGTCTCTACTGGTGTTTCTGTGTGTGTCTGTGCTTTGCGTCCTCTTGCTTTTAGTGAATCTGCAGCAAGTGACGATTTTGCAGTTGCAGGACACTATTGGACGCTTTGTAGGGGCTCTTGCAAGTGTAAGATGGTGCATCTACTGGACATTGTGTCGAGCACAGCTCACTCTCAACGGTTTTTGTGTAGTGCTGGCAGGTGCTGATTATCGCCTCGGGAATCGCTCTGTCAACGGCGGGGTTGTATCTTGTGATGTTGCGATTCTGCGGCTGCGTCAGCGTCTTGCTCTCGACGGTGGCGATTGAATCAACATTGGCATTCAGCAGCTATCGGCTGCTACGTGCGGCAGCCGACCCATTGTTGTACGAAGACGACCCGGTCATGTTGAGCTCGCTTCAGATCAGTTCGGTCGTCATGTGTTGCGCAGCAGTTCTCTTTCTATTGTTTGCAGTGGTGAACATGCCTCGCCTTCTACTTGCTGGCGCGTTTATCACGCATGCATCACGCGCGCTGTCCCAGCTAAAGCGGCTACTTGTGCTGCCGTTCATCACCTATGTGCTGTTGCTGCTATTGTTTGGATGGGGAATCCTCGTGACAGTCTGCATTTTCGGAGCTGGGGAAATGTCGACCCGTATCGCAACCATCGCCGCTGCCTCTCCAGCCTACATCAGTGTCGCAACCGAGTCGTTTCAAGCGAGCACGAAGCTTCGATGGCTTTTCATCTACCATCTTTTCGGCATGTACTGGTCGGTGAACTTTGTCCTATCGACAAGTGAGATGATCACTGCGACAGCAATTTCGCTGTGGTATTTCTCTCCTGAGAATCGGATGACAGGACTGAAGGACTTTCAAATGGCAGACCCAGTGTCGTACTCAGTGCACATGACTATCAAGTACCATCTCGGAACGTTAGCATTAAGCTCGTGTTCTGTCGCGCCTGTGGAGCACATCCGCTCGTTTCTCTTGTACCTCAAACACAAGAATGAATTTGAGGCCAACACTTTCACGAAAGTCATGGCCAGGTGCTGTTGTGTAAGTAAAACCCTTGTGTAATTCGAAAAGCTCGTGCAGTATCTCTGACCATTAGCTGATTTGTTCTCCTGTACCCAGTGCTGCATTTGGTGTTTTAAGTACTGCCTCAGGTATATCTGCAAAGAAGCTGTCTACGTCACTGCAATCCAAGGTACCAGTTTTCGCACATCTGGGAAGGTGCGTACTCTGCTCTGAGATTAGCATCGAAAAGAAATTGTTGGCTTTGACCCCGCTCTCTTCTGTATGGAGTCATTGACCGCAGCTAGCTTGCACGCTGATCTCCTCCAATTTGCTCCGTGTTGGAGCGCTTAGTCAGATCGGTTACGCGTCGGTGCTTCTGGGCAAATTAATTGTTTGTACCATCACAAGCCTCATCTCGTGGTTTCTTCTGGACAATGTACGTTGGACACCCATTAAGATGAGCTCAAGTGTTTTATTCGAATACCTGACGTCAACGTGACCACTTGTTTCGCCATGAAATAGGCTTCTTCTCCCATACTGCCACTGGTCGTCGTCGTGCTGTTCTCTTATGGTGCAGCTCATACATTCATGACGGTGAGCTTTTGTTTGTCTGATGCAAAATGGTTAAGGTCTGCGTTCTAAAAGTCAATGATTGTGACAGATCTACGAGACATCCATCAATATGCTGCTTATGTGCTTCATACTCGACGAGAACTTGCATGGCGGTCGGAGCAACTCGGTGCACGCTCCAGCACCTTTGATCCAATCGGTGAATGACCATTTGCGACCGAAATGGCAAACGGTCATGTAGAATGCGGCCATCTTCATCGCATAGAATGCTGCTACGATTCTATCCACCATTGTAAAGACCACACAGCCAGCCGATTGCCTGCTGTTGTCCTTCGCCGTCTTTCCACATCACAAGCTGGAGAACCACATGCTGTTTCAACCGCGTTTCTCAACCAGATAGCGCACAAATTAGCAGCTGCCTCGTAAATCCCATCCGCACGCATCATCTAGTACATTGTTTTAAACGTCGAGCACCAGGCAAGTTAATATGCCACGGTCCATAGTTCAGACGGACTTCAGGTTTTCTGCCATTGAGCTGGAACCGAGTGCAAGATATTCATCCACTTCTCGTAAAATATACCGCTTAGACAGGCCCCGCAGGATCTTCCGAGAACAGACGTGGCACCGTAGGTCCCTCACGATGCCACACGTGCTGACCAGACACACACACACAAGGTCTCGCAAAACCGTGTGACTGCACTCAATAGCTCGCCCTCGCTTCTGTCTTTCTCGATTCCCCCACAATCCCACACTAAAGTACTGCGAAACCTACAGCAGGCAGGACACGACGTCGCACTCGACTGTATCTATCGCCTAGTATCAACCTGCTCATCGCTTGGAACATTCAGGTCATTCACTCACCCACGTAAACCGTCCGATATTCAGTCCAAAGCAGTCGCTAGTCAGTCCATTTTTTATTACTGAGACTCGCACAAGGTGTTCCTCACGCCCCGATTTGTCCATCTCACCTGATCAGCTCGTCACTTTCTCATTACACACGTCAAGCCATTGCCAAGTCCTGCCGTTCCCTCGCCACATCTTTTGCAATGGCGACACCCCTCCCATTGTCTCCAAGGCGGTTGCAACCCGACGAGCTCTTAAGTACCACCAGGTCATCTTCTCTTTTATTGCTGTGGGACTCGACTCGGGCGGGTCTTCATGACGAACTATCACCGCAGTCTACTACGGACCCCTCTCAAGCTCCAGCCCAAGGAACCGACGGTAGAGACGACTCGGTCTCCACTTCTTTACTGCGTAAATCGTCAAGTTGTGCGGACGTTTCGACTTTGGGGCATCGGACTCGTAATTGCACGACTATTCCATCCAAAAGGGACAAGTTATCGACTGTACGTGGTGGTGGTGGTGCTGCGACTCCTATTTCAACTTTATCCCCCGTACTCCGCCCGCCAACGACGTTGTCGTCATTACAGAAGAACGAAACGGACGACACAATCACTTGCCCGAGTGTTCCAAGCACGTCGCCGAATTTGCTCGACAAGTGGTTGTTTCGAAGCGGGACGCCTTCATTTACAGCGTCGCCCATGACGTCGAAAGAGTCGATGGGAAGTGCCGCCGAAGATGAAGTCGATGCGATGAACGTCGTGGTCATGAACACGAATCTCGTGCCACCACCTTTTGCCAATATGTACGCGTGCGAGTCCTGTCGCGAGGACATTGGATCGTTGCTATCTCAAGGACGACATCATTGCCGGAACTGTGGCGGCTCGTTCTGTGCCGAGTGTACGACCCATTCCATCGTCGTGCCATATCGAGCGTATTTGGCACGCGGTGAGCTGCGTGTGTGCGATGGTTGCTACTATCGGATTCAGAATTTTCAGAAACAAGTGAAGAGCACAAGTGTCACGTGGAGCGGTCTCCAGCCGCCGTCAAGTGAGCAGCTGATGCAGGACTTTGACTTGTCGGAAGATGAATCGCCTGTTGCAATTTTCAATTGTGCGCTGTTCTTGGACACGACGCCGTTTTACGGCCATCTCGTGCTCACGCGCAAGCGTCTGTGCTTTCAGAGTTATGCGGACGCGAAGAAACGGAAAGTGGCGTACTCGCGGGTGCTGTCGCTGTTGAAGCCGCAATTTTACTACATCAATGGATTGCAGGTAAAGACGAAGCAACGAGAGACTTTTCTCTTGGCTGAGTTCAATGGACTTCGTGACACGTGTTTCCTCCGAATCGACCAGCTCATTCGAGCTTACCAAGAAGTTAGCAAGTTGAAAGGCCTGGGACCTGGAAAGTCTTCAAGCACCAAGGAGCTTCGGAGGCAGGCGCTTGATCGCCGGCGCTCGTACAAATTGATCTCGGAGCACATTGCGTCGTCAGGAGGGTGTACTAGCAATTCAAGCAGCTCACTCATGTCGTACTCTTCCTTCATATCTACTGTAGGATTCATTGACGTTGACGACGAAGATTTCACCGCCGATGCGCCTCTTAGTAGCATTGTCGAGGATTGTGGTCATATTGATGATGGGAAATCGACAGCTAGTGACGAAGAACCGTTTGAGCCGTTGCCACCTGATCCGCTACTTGAGAAGATGACGATTTTGCTGGATTGTGAATTGCGAGCCGATGTGAAGCGAGTCTTCGATCTGTTGTGGGATGATGGTCCTGGCCAAGAATTCTTGCGCACGACTATGGAGAAGGCACGTGATATCGATATTGAAGTCGGGCCGTGGAAGACGGATGACAAGAATGATCCTGTAACTACTGCAGAAGTCCGAAAGGGCTTTGAGATCTCCAAGGAGAATGACTATACACTTTACCGTACAGTACGATCCCAGCACCCACCTAAGACTTCGTTTCCTGGTTTACCACCATACGCCGGGTGCACAAGAACGCAACGATTCCGTCTTGACGAAAGCTCTAATGACGGAGAGAAGTGGGATCGGTTTGTGATTACTGAATTGAACCGCATGAGCAAGATTCCATTCAGCGATTACTTCGTAGTCGAGATGCGTTACGTGTTTTCTCGCGACGGCAACAACTATTGCCACGTCCAAGTAGGTTTGGTCGTCAATTTCCTCAAGGCAACGTGGTTCAAGAGTCAGATCAACTCGTCTACGCGATCCGAGTCGAAAGAGGCGCTAGAGTCATGGGCGAAGCAATCAATTGAATTTCTGGAGTGTCAACGAAATCGTATCGTTCCACTTTCTCCGACAATTGACGCATTAACTGCTTCTGGCAGCTTCAGCGAGCTTGTACCGGGGGCAGATAGTGCTCTGCACCCTGCGAGTGCACATTCCACGTTCAAGAGCGCAAACGTATCGACAGCTCAGTCGTCATCATCTCTGAATACTGCAGCAAGTGCTATTCGGCGTGTTTGGCCGCCGTTGTCTCTGGTGCAAGTGCTCTTGCTGGGTTTGCTGGCTTATGGTCTCTTGATACTTCGTGGGCATCAGATGCAAATGCAAAGGCTAGTCGACGAAACGACAAAATTGCTTGAACAGCTTCAAAATCAACAGAGTATGCTACAGGCACAGGCATCGACAAGGCAACAAAGTACCGACGATTTTCTCTACCATCAAGACACAATGGAGACTTAGTATGGGAAAGAATGATACCATGAAATTGTGATTTAACAACTTGGTGCTCAAGATGAGACAGTTGTAACAATGAACTGACGACAGCATCGAGTATCGAAGAAGTCAACGAAATTTTCTTTTGCGTGATGCTCACGGCGTCAAAGTTTAGGCTTGTTCTATGGAGCCAGTGACATGCTGTACAAATCGTTGATCGAAGTGGAATCGTTTTACTTGGAAACAAATTTACAAACTCCGTAGCAACCTATCGAGATCGTGTCGAAGCAACTAGAAGGCTTGACCTGGCTGATCAATGAACAAAAGCTGTGGTTAAACTAAGGATCGAATGGAGGCAAAGACAAAGAGAATTGTAAGTGCTGTAGTATACGATCGCGTCGTACGACTTATAAGTTGTCTGTGTAATATAGGTTACCTGTGCAAAATCTAAATGTACACCTACATTCGTTATTTTCTAGCCATTTGACCGAGGAAAAGACTTCCTTGTTTACATAGTATTGTTATCTGAGGTCGAGAACTTGAGAGGAGTTTTTAGCTTGGCATCCATAAGATTTACTATAGCTACGCAACCTGTTTGATCGCGATAGAGCAGCCTGCTCGTTGCGTCAAACAAGGCTAAGGCAACTACTAAATATCGCACACTTGGCACAGGAGCTGTGGATCCTCCCGCATTTTGTTGATTGGTGTAGATGATAGCGCTGGCCTACCCAAGGTTAGCAAGCTGGTGGTCCATTACTCACTACATTTAACGAAATATACGTGTCCGTCTATCGAATGTACAATTTTCGGCAAGGGAGTTGCAGATGGATGTAGGGGTATCGTACGAAAATTGTAGTGGTGAATTGCGGTCGTTTCCTGCCGCAGCACGTGTATAAAATGCTTATTACGAGGTTTCCGACGAGTACATCTACAAGAGCACGAGCGCTTAGCACTAGAAGCCTTTAAAACGTGTCCGACGAGACAAGCTGAGTCAAGATCTTGGTCAATCAGATGAATAGTTCGGGCTGAATACGATCATATAGAGTACTACATCAACGATGGGAATCGTAGCTTCATGATGATAAAAACACGTTTGACCAGTAATCAACGATCTAATACTTTACAAAAACTTTATCTCTTGACTGCAGAGCATCGTAAATCATTAGCAAATTTTAGTTAGGGTTGGCTGTGCCCGCTTCTAGTCATGAACTTGAAGTGGCGCTCATGACCACAAATTATATGTGACAACATTCCTTATAGATACAAGGCCACATTGTTGACTACATTCGTGATGTTCGCACGCTTGTTACTAAAAGAGTACTGGTTGTGATATCGTTCGGACGGGCCATAATTCCAGTGATTTTTATGTATCAAAAGCAAAAGATTTTTTGCTTGATGTATATTCCAATGGAAATTAGCATCTTAACTACGGTATGTTACATTTACACACACTGCACTGTATGCAATCCTTTTGAGCTAGGATGCTGGGGCTACGACGTCTTCGATTACTAACTGGATTTCGCTCTTTTCGTTCTTATCGCAGATGCGTGGTACTGTTCATCGAGTAACACACGTGCAATTTGAGCTCTGGTCTTCCAAGACAGCTCGATATCGTTAGGAAACCAACGCTATTCACCAGTCAAGATCATGAACTAACTTGGTGGTATTTAGCGGATAAGGCTATAAGAACAATACGCTAGCGTCTACCCGAACATGTTCACTATCAGCCTCATTTCCGAAACTTGGTGCTCTGATCCAGCTAGATTACGATCATTTTGTGCACATTTACCCACAAACGGTTGCAAAAATCATAATGTAAGTTTGTGAGCGTGAACATGTAGTATAGAGCCGTAGATGATCTTCGTGCTGTGAAAATATCGACAAATGGTCACCAATCACGTAGATTGAGCGCTATCCGAAAATGTCACACTGTCGTATCTCCGTATGATATCCACAGCAGAAACTGGGTATAATGCACTCACATGTGGTTTCATCTAGGTCTTGACTGTGCTTGGCACGTCGTCGCATTTTACGCAGCAATGCGCTTGACTAAATTTCTCGAAGATGGGTCGATGTTTATCCGGCACAAACAAGACCGTTCACATTATTTTGCAGTTCTATCACACCTCTCGAAGCCGCCGACTCGATGTGATCGATTGCCTTGACATGAATAAGGGTCTAAGCGAACAATTATTTTTTCACAGCTTTCGTTGGCGTCGGGTCTGAACCAATGTCGTTTTGCTGTCAGCATATACACATCTTAGCAAATACTGTTTGCAGCCACGCAGCTTCTTTTTGAGCTAAAACGAAGTTCTTTCGGGCAAAACACTTCTCTTTGACTAGCGTCTAGTTTAGGCAAGAACCGCTAGATTCCATGTCGACAAACTTGTCCAAGGTTAAGCAATTTGTTTGCAAGGTCAATATAACCGAATTGCACAAATACTTGCGATAGTTAGGTACACTGATGTGAAACACACAGAAAAAGATCAGTATCACTGATAGGGCACACTTCTGTATCACATACGCTAAGCGGTAATACCGTATCTATCGTATATGTTCAGATGGTACCTATCGGGATAAGGGTCTTCATGGAGGCGACTTAGCTCTGGTGGGGTTCACAAAACGAACTTTAGTGAGGACTATTCGATCAGGTAGCAAGGTTAAAGACGTAGGCAAGGTTGATCATCGCTATTAATCAGTATATACATTCAGCTTCCCTTTTTGATCAGTTTTTGCTTTTCAGACACGTGTCTTTCCAAGACGTCTCTATTCGTAAGCGTTGAGTGCCTGCGTCCAGACTATGTACTCTTAGGCATTAGTGCTGCCTGATTTTCATGTACATGAAAGTCGTAGTCCCCTAGACAAGGAATAAAAGCTTACGTGCTTGTACAATGCGCTTGGAGTTAAGTCCCAGTAAGCCTGCGAGACTTGAGACCCTTTGCGTTTAAACCCGCTTATATTGATACGCTAAGGGACTCTACGATTCTAGAAGTCTTTCTCTGGCTACGGAGTTAGGGTAGCTTCAATATACTTCGTAGCACTTGTAGTCAATCTACACTTGCGTCTGTCAGTGACTGTTCCTCTGTAAGGATAAAAACAAAGATAAACCTATCTGAGGCCCAACTATTAGTGCTAGAGAAACTCATAGCGCTAGTCGGGTACGAACAAGTGGATTTAATCCTTGCACAAGGTCCTGACGTGATTCGTGCACGTCTTGACGCTTTTATGAAGTTTGAGTCCACTTTGCTTGGTCCAGCACACGACCATTTGGCACCGGCTATGTCTACTCGAATGTTCCCGTACCTGATGAAGAGCTAAGTGCTCTCCACCTTGTCTTGACTGTTAAGGCATTTGAGGGAAACGAAGGGGAGAGTCTCCTCCTTTGGATCAGAGAGGTAGAAATGACCATGAACTCCGCTATGCTCCGGTCGGAGCAACACCGAGTTGGGGTGGCTATCTCAAAACTCGGTGGTCGAGCCAGAGAATGGGCTCTCACGTGTATCACGTCGGTATGCGAAGCTTTACCCACATGTGAATTGCTAAAACAGCAATAATCCGAGTCTATGATCCGCTTAATCAGACGTACCGAGTGCGCTCTCGTTTTTTATGTGCCCGTCAGGACAAGACAGCACGATCGGACTATGTCCAGGAACTGAGAGCTCTAATCTCTGCCGACCAGAACGATCCCTTACCAGGAATGGTTTTGGTTACCATCATCATGGAGAGCCTTCGCTTGGGCGTAAATTGAACGGAAGTATTCCGGGTACAACCCACCTCCTTTGAGGTGGCTGTGGATATCGTGTTGAACACTAAGTTTAACGTTAAGGCAGCCCGTTTTAGCACCCATGGGTATTACCCAATCTCGGCGAAGTTGTTTAGCTTATTCAAAGGGCTGGAGCCTAAAGACATCAGTCTTGCCGGGATGGACGAAGAAGCAGAGCATGGAGGTTGGTAAGCCCCATTTCCTTTTAGTATTAAAAGTAAATACCTTCTAGACGTCTAGACGTAGATCAACATTGAAACATTTAACGATGTTTCACGTATGGAAGCACAAAACATCTGCGAACTAATTGCCCTTTACGCAGGGAACGTCGGCCACTTCAGGTTGAACTCTCATTGCACAATATAATCTGGTACTGCGCGAGAAAGTGTAGACTTCCAGTAGTCACGAGGCTCCCTAATGGGAAGTCGAGCCAGGGTTTATGCCGATCCTCGAGCAAGTAGTGGAGATCAGAATTTGGCCCCAAGAAATTATGTGTATTTTTAAAAAGGTGTAGGGCACGAGCCAGATTTGTTGATAACAAAGGGACTATTAAGGACTATGACATATCCTGGTCTATTTTGATTGAATCCGGAATATCCGGTACTTATGTCAGACACTGCTCCCTTGAAGGGAACTTACGTTACGTTGAGGCGCTAGAATCACTCAAGGTTGATACGATGGCCATTCGCTTAGAAACGGGAACTTTAGCCACCGCACTCAAAGTTCCTGTGAACTTGGGTGCGATGTTTTTCGATTTCGATAGTATTGAACGCTGTTTACTTTTGATTTAAGCTAAGATGTGATCTAATTCTCGGTATGGCTTGGCTTGGCCGCCATGAGCCATGAGCCATGAAAAAAAATGGACGTCACATATATTAGACGGTATGCACACTATCCCTAGCGGAAATTTGGTTAGTCAGAAACCCTCTATGCTTTGAATTAGTAGCGTTATTGGAGCTATTTACAGACTGACAATTTTAATGTGCTAGACATCGGAATGTCGGAGTTAGTTGACTCCGACGTTGTCAAAGACACGAGTATAGATCAAAGCCCGATATGTGATAGTGCAGCGGCACGTAATCCGCTACGCGATAGTCGTTATGGATGAACGTACTAAATGCTGAGATCATTGTTGACCAAGCATCAATTCATCGAGGGTTAAACCTATCAGATGAGCGTGGAGTGGAAAGTAAATACCCACTGGGTGACGTTGGCTGTGCTAGCGACGCGCTGAATGTCAATATTGACGTTGTTGGTGAAATAC